TGAATTTTAAGTCTTCCTGGAGCCATTATTTAATATGTATCAGAGAGCAGCTGACTGGGGTTTCCTGGAGAGATCATATTAATTTGTTTGTGTTGTGAGAGTTAAAAAATTGGAGACAGCAAACATTGAAAGGTATGTGCTTACTTCAGCTTTCGACATGAGGACAGTTTCTCCTGGAGAAAGGAGTTAGTTCAGAGCAATTAGGTGACCTCAGTATAAGGAATGAAAATTTCAGAGTAGAGATTTTTGCTTAGAATCCTGGAGGGTTTCTTTTAAGTTAAGAAAATTTAAGCTAAGTTGTGCGAATACTCAAAGAAAAAAGGCTATCAGAATCTCAAGACCAAAAATTGAAAGAGACAGTTAAGTCAAACATATAGATGTGAAAGAGAAGGTAAATCGTTCTGTGGAATTGGTCAAGAGCGAACTATACGGTAAATGGAAAAGCCCTGGGGAAAATTGATGCACAGAGAGATCTGGGTGTTCAGGTCTATTGTACCCTGAAGGTGGCAACGCAGGTCGATAGAGTGGTCAAGAAGGCATACGGCATGCTTTCATTCATTGGACGGGGTATTGAGTACAAGAGTTGGCAGGTCATGTTACAGTTGTATAGGACTTTGGTTGGACCACATTTGGAATACTGTGTACAGTTCTAGTTGCCACATTACCAAAAGGATGTGGATGCTTTGGAGAGGGTGCAGAGGAGATTCACCAGGAAGTTGCCTGGTATGCTAGCTATGAAGAGAGGTTGAGTAGATTAGGATTATTTACATTAGAAAGACAGAGGTTGAGGGGGACCTGATTGAGGTCTACAAAATCATGAGAGGTATAGACAGGGTGGATAGCAAGAAGCTTTTTCCCAGAGTGAGGGACTCAGTTACGAGGGGTCACAATTTCAAGGTGAGAGGGGAAATGTTTAAGGGAGATATGCATGGAAAGTTCTTTACGCAGAGGGTGGTGGGTGCCTGGAACGTGTTGCCAGCAGAGGTAGTAGAGGCGGGCACAATAGCATCATTTAAGACGTATCTAGACAGATACATAAATGGGCAGGGAGCAGAGGGATACAGATCCTTGGAAAATAGGCGACAGGTTTAGATAGAGGATCTGGATCGGTGCAGGCTTGGAGGGCCGAAGGGCCTGTTCTTGTGCTGTAATTTTCTTAGCTCTTTTGTTCTTTGATCTTTGATCTTTGAATAATAAGCAGTGATGGTGTTGGAATAGGTTTGCTATGTATTTTCAAATGTTTCAAATTGGCTTCTGTGTAAATAGTTTGATTTGTTCTACTTTATCTTGATTTCTTTTCTGTAATAAACTTTTATTTTACTGTTGAAACCAAATCTGCAACATTGTGTACTTATCTTACACTGAACATAGAACATAGAACATTACAGCGCAGTACAGGCCCTTCGGCCCTCGATGTTGCGCCGACCTGTGAAACCAATCTGAAGCCCATCTAACCTAAACTATTCCATTATCATCCATATGTTTATCCAATGACCATTTAAATGCCCTTAAAGTTGGCGAGTCTACTACTTTTGCAGGCAGAGCATTCCATGCCCTTATTACTCTCTGAGTAAAGAATCTACCTCTGACATCTGTCCTATATCTATCACCCCTCAATTTAAAGCTATGTCCCCTCGTGCTAGCCATCACCATCCGAGGAAAAAGGCTCCCACTGTCCACCCTATCTAATCCTCTGATCATCTTGTATGTCTCTATGAAGTCACCTCTTAACCTTCTCTCTAACGAAAACAGCCTCAAGTCCCTCAGCCTTTCCTCATAAGACCTCTCCTCCATACCAGGCAACATCCTGGTTAATCTCCTCTGCACCCTTTCCAATGCTTCCACATCCTTCCTATAATGCGGTGACCAGAACTGTACGCAATACTCCAAGTGCGGCCGCACCAGAGTTTTGTACAGCTGCAACATGACTTCATGGCTCCAAAACTCAATCCCTCTACCAATAAAACCTAACACACCGTACGCCTTCTTAACAACGCTATCAACCTGGGTGGCAACTTTCAGTGATCTATGCACATGGACACCGAGATCTCTCTGCTCATCCACACTACTGAGAATCTTACCATTAGCCCAGTACTCTGTATTCCTGTTACTCCTTCCAAAGTGAATCACCTCACACTTTTCCGCATTAAACTCCATTTGCCACCTCTCAGCCCAGTTCTGCAGCTTATCTATGTCCCTCTGTAACCTGCAACATCCTTCCGCACTATCCACAACTCCACCGACTTTGGTGTCATCCGCAAATTTACGAACCCATCCTTCTACGTCCTCATCCAGGTCATTTATAAAAATGACAAACAGCAGTGGCCCCAAAACAGATCCTTGAGGTACACCACTAGTAACTGAACTCCAGGATGAACATTTCCCATCGACCACCACCCTCTGTCTTCTTACAGCTAGCCAATTTCTGATCCAAACCGCTAAATCACCCTCAATCGCATGCCTCCGTATTTTCTGCAATAGCCTACTATGGGGAACCTTATCAAATGCTTTACTGAAATCCATATATACCACATCAACCACTTTACCCTCATCCACCTGTTTGGTCACCTTCTCAAAGAACTCAATTAGGTTTGTGAGGCACGACCTACCCTTCACAAAACCGTGTTGACTATCCCTAATCAAATTATTCCTTTCTAGATTATTATAAATCCTATCTCTTACAATCCTTTCCAACACTTTACCCACAACCGAAGTAAGGCTCACTGGTCTATAATAACCAGGGTTGTCTCTACTCCCCTTCTTGAACAAGGGGACAACATTTGCTGGTCTCCAGTCTTCTGGCACTATTCCTGTAGACAATGACGACATAAAGATCAAAGCCAAAGGCTCTGCAATCTCCTCTCTAGCTTCCCAGGAAGCTAGATAAATCCCATCCAGCCCAGGGGACTTATCTATTTTCACACCTTCCAGAATTGCTAACACCTCCTCCTTATGAACCTCAATCCCATCTAGTCTAATAGCCTGTATCTCAGTATTCTCCTCGACAACATTGTCTTTTTCCTGTGTGAATACTGACAAAAAATATTCATTTAGCGCCTCCTATCTCTTCGGACTCCACGCACAACTTCCCACTACTGTCCTTGACCGGCCCTAATCTTACTCTAGGCATTCTTTTATTCCTGACATACCTGTCGAAAGCTTTAGGGTTTTCCTTGATCCTACCTGCTAAAGACTTCTCATGTCCCCTCCTGGCTCTTCTTAGCTCTCTCTTTAGGTCCTTCCTGGCTAACTTGTAACTCTCAAGCGCCCTAACTGAGCCTTCACGCCTCATCTCTACATAAGCCTCCTTCTTCCTCTTGACAAGAGATTCAACTTCTTTAGTAAACCACAGTTCCCTTGTTCGACCACTTCCTCCCTGCCTGACAGGTACATACTTCTCAAGGACACGCAGTAGCTGTTCCTTGAACAAGCTCCACATTTCAATTGTGCCCAGCCCCTGCAGTTTCCTTCTCCATCCTATGCATCCTAAAGCTTGCCTAATCACCTCATAATTGCCTTTCCCCCAGCTATAACTCTTGCCCTGCGGTATATACCTATCCCTTTCCATCGCTAAAGTAAACGTAACTGAATTGTGGTCACTATCACCAAAGTGCTCACCTACCTCCAAATCTAACACCTGGCCTGGTTCATTATGAAAAGACAAAAAACAAAATTATCTATTAAACCAGTTTGGGATGTGACTTGTGTAGTCATAACAATAGCTGGGATCACAACACAGAATGTTACACCTAACAGCATGAACACACATTTTGCACATTGACCTTTTATTTGGAACCTTCCATGTGAGGGAGTGCTTTACTGAGGGAATGCTGTGTTGAGGGATGCCATGCTGAGGGAGTGATGTACCCCTACCAAAGAAATCGTGTATTCAGTGAATACTCGACTAAGTGAGTAATGTATTGAGGAAGTACTGCACTGAGGACCTTCTGTCATGAGGGATTGTCATACAGGAGGAGTGCCACGCTGGGGGAGACCTACACTGAGGGAGTACTTACCTGAGAGGGTACCACACTGAAGGAGCACCGCACTGAGGGAGTGCTATACTGAGGGACTGCACACTGCCGGAGTTATGTACTGAATTAGTGCCGCACTGATGGAGTTCAGTACTGAGGAAGTACCATACTGGGGGAGTACTACGTTGAGGGAATGGTGCACTGAGGGAGTACCGCACAGATGGAGTGCTGCACTGGTGGAGTTCTGTATTGAGGGAGTACCTCTCTGAGGGAATGCTGCACTGGCTATTTTGAGGGAGTGCTACCTTGACGCAGTGCTGCCCTGAGCGGGTTTAAGTACTACACTGAGGGAGTTGTGCACTGAGAGATCGCTGTGTTTCGGACATGTCTTTGTTTAACGAGACAAATCATTGAATAGTTTGGAATGACTTTATTTGCTGCAGGATCACAAATGATTTTCATCGAGTGTTCACCTTGTGCAGGAGGCTGAATAACGGCTGCTGCTCTGACATTTGTTACAGCTGCTGGCAGCTCCAAACAAGAACTGATTCTTCCCTGCAATCAAAGCCAAAAATCTCTGGTACGTCAAAATATCCTCGCCATCAATCAGCAAGCCGTCTTGTACCTTCTGAAATCTATAATCCGACAAACTTCAAACAGTCAGATTGGACTCAGGACCATTTCACTCTGAAACTGACCTTACTTTTGGTCACAGAGGAAGTCAAAGGTGGGTTTGACAAGAGTTTGCCAGGACTCTGTGAAGTCTGGGCCACTCTTTCGCCATTCCCTTCCAGCTTGCCCCTCATCTCTGAGAGACTGACGCAACATGTGTTGAAAGCTGGCTTTGGACCAAGCCTGGATTGAGCTCCTAATGTTAGCTCGGGTACGACTGGCCAGGGGGACGAGTCCATCGAGTGGCTCACAGTTTCCTACCGGAGACAGCAGCTTGCACGGTAGATGGGGAGCTTCAGGGCGATGCGGAGATGCCAGCGAGCCCCGGTTTGCTGAAGGACAGCAGGGCAGGCGATGGGGAGCCTGGAGGAGACGCTGGTCACCCTTGTAGGGGGAGCGCCCTGGGGCTTCAGGCTCCAAGGAGGTTCCCAGCAACACCAGCCGCTGCAAGTAGCCAAGGTAGGAGAGGCTGTGACTGGGTCAGAAACCCCGGGCAGAGAGGGAGCCGCAGGGAGAGAGAGAGACCCCCCCCCCCACCCCGCCAAATAAACCCCACAGTATCACCCAACAGAGGCATCCCCGGAGAGTCCCTGACCAGGGTCAGCACTTAGACTAATAGAATAACCCCCAGAGAGAGACTGTACCCCGGGAAATGCACCGTACTCGGAAACATCCCGCCCAGGGGACAGACCCTGGGGAGGGTGGGTGGGGGGAGTGGGTCTCAGAGAGAAGGGTATCTGAGAGACAGGCTCCCAGATCAAGAGAGGGGTGTGGTGGGGGGGTCCCGGACAGAGAGAGAGAGAGTTAGAGACAGGGACACACACAGAGAGATATCTCCGGGACAGTTCCCCCACTGGGGACACTTTCTGTCGGAATTAATACCTCGCCCCGACTCCTGTCCTGATGTCAAGCTGTCCCGTTCACACTCTGAGGGTGAATTTAGTCTGTCTCTTGCTCAGTTGCTTTCAAGTTTACTTGGTTTGATCTCAATGGCTGAAGTGGGGTCAGTGGAACTTCGGGGAATTGTCCACAAAGTGAGTTTAACTATAACGTGACTAAAAGCTGGAAAAGCTCAGCAGGTCTGGCAGCATCTGTGAAGAAAAATCAGAGTTAACGTTTCGGGTCCGGTGACCCTTCCTCAGAACTGATGGTAGCTGGGAAAATGGCGGTTTAAATGTCGATTTTCTTTTTTCATAGATGCTGCCAGACCTGCTGAGCTTTTCCAGCAACTCCTGTTTTTGTTCCTGATTTGCAGCATCTGCAGTTCTTTCGGTTTTTATTAACTATAAAATGTCTCGATTGCAAGCAAGAGGGTTTCTCAGAGCAGGACTATCCCAAACACTGCTGATCATTTTGCACTGCTGATGGTGTCCAAACAGCTCCCGTTCATGTGCTCGGGAAGGGAGGGTTTAATCCCCTGTAGCCACTGTTAGAGATTAGGCAAATTGCGTGAAACTCTTTCGGATAGATTTCAGGGAAAACCTGTCAGACCCCTGGCATTGGCCATGGGGAGAGGAACTGGAAAGAGCTCAGTGTCAGCTCCGTTCACTCAGAGAGTTAACCCGGTCCTGATCCTTGAGCAGCTCAGGTTAATTCCGCAGGGCAATGGGATGAATAGGCTTGGTGGGAATGAAATGAGAAAGTGCTGGAGAAATTTAGCAAGCCTGGTAGCATCTGTGGAGAGAGAATCAGAGTGGTTCCAGTCGAGTAGGAGTCTTCCAAAGAACAAGAGTCATACAGAAGTTGGAACGTTAACTTCGTTTCTCTCTCCACAAATGCTGCTAGACCTGCTGAGTTTCTCAAGCAGTTCCTGGTTTGATTCCCACAGGATTAGTTGACTTTAAGGCCTATTGAACCTGTAGAAGTGCTGCTTAGCCACCTGTCCCTTCCCTCTGTGGGGGGGTACTCCAAACAGAGTTGGGAACAATGTTATTACTATGGGACATGTTTGCCATTTGGTGGTTGCTTGACTTCTGTCTCTCCACATAGGCCAAAGTTAACTCAGGATCAGAAAATAAACACACAGCATTGGAATAGCATGTCCGAGGTATGAGGAGAGGTTCAATTGGTTAGAATTACATTCATATTATATAGGAATTTAGAAAAATGGGGCAGGTGGGGAGATCTCATAGAAAACTATAAAATTCTAGACAGTGCAGATCCAGGAATCATGATCCCGATGGTGGCTGAGTCCAGAACCAGGGTCACAGCCGAAGGTTGAACATTTAGGAATGAGATGAGGAGAATCTTCTTCACCCGTAGAGTGGTGAGAGTGTGGAATGTGCTAGCACAGAAAGCAGTTGAGGCCAAAACATTGAATAATTTAAAGAAGTAGTTGGTTATAGCACTTGGGGCTAAAGGGATGAAAGGGTACGGGGAGCTGGGAAAGTGGGAACATAGTTATGGAGTTGAATGATCAGCCATGATCATAATGAATGGTGCAGCCAGCTCAAAGCGCCAAAAGGACTACTCCTGTTTCTATTTTTCAATGTTGACAAGTGATGTCATGTCTTGTTACAAAATCGCATCAAAAGAAGAATTGTTTTAGGGCTAGCCAGCAAACTAAAGACTCAAACTATCACATGTCGACATACCTGGAGGTTGATCCAACCTGGAAAATCAGAAATCATCTCGAGTTCCATTGTTCCATTCAGAACCTGCTTTAGTATTTAGATAAGGGCACACATGCATTCACAAAGCCAGCACATGCACAGTGGGCTGAACAGACTCCTTCTGTGCTCCCTCATTCTGTAATTCTCAATGGTCCAGCTCTTTGTTCTCCTGGGCATTTTCTTCTTCCTTAGAATTATGATGGATGATGAAATAATTTGTTGCAATTGTAGCAACTTTGTAAACTAGGCTGAAACTAAAGGATTGCAATGGACTCTGAGAAATAAAACAGGACATTGTGACATGTTTATGAGGTGATAATTTATGCATAGAAATATTCCAGCACTTAACCACTGGGCCAAGATCACTGACCTTCCAAACCAGCAAAGGAAACTGCCCTCACTGATACACTGGCAAATTGTAGCAGTGGCACATTTGTGTAAACATTTACAATTCTGCATTTTGTTTTGAATCAACCTGTTCAAGGATATCAAGACAGATCTCTGGAGCAGGTGGGACTTGCAACCTGGGTCTTCTGGCTCAGAGGTAGGGACATTACCACTGCACAGTTACAATTCTGTGCCAGTTTTGTCACATTTACTAATTAAGGACCTTTTGGACAATTCTGTTTCTGTGCCAACGTCTCAATCAATGTCCTAATATCAATTTAAAATTAGGAAATAAAAACTTGTGATGTCATCAGTAGTTACCTCAGTTGGTTGGTTGGGATGCAGAATGATGCCAACAGTGTGGGTTCAATTCCCACACCGGCTGAGGTCACCATAAAGGATTCACCTTCTCAACCTCGCCTGAGGCAAAGTGACCTTAAGGTTAATCTACTACCAGTCATTTCTCTCTAACGAAACAGCAGCTCTTAACTGGTTTTAATACTCTACTTGAGAATTAACTAATATCTTATATAGGTTCAAAATAAGCACCTCATTCTTGTCGTTGACCTCCCTGTAAACTGTATAAATCCAACTCTCAATCTCCCCTGCTACCTCCAATGACTCATGCTCATCTACAACCAGGTTCCTCTGGTCCTACACCCTCTGTAGAATTTTGTCCCTTAGTTCATTTTGAATTTTGTCAGCGAAATGAATTACTTCAGATTTCTCTACAATGAACTTCACCTGCCACTTGTTCACCCATCCCATCAACTTATCTATGTGTTTTTGAAATTCTATATTGTCCTCACAATTCACAATGCTTCCAAGTTTCATATCATCAACAAAATCTATATACACTAAGATCTTGTTCGTTGATATAGGTATGTATTTATCAGGAAGAGCAAGGGTCCCAATATAGACCCCCAGGGATTTCCACTACAAAGCTTCCTCCAGCCTGCAAAAATATTCATTAGCCACTAATCTCCATTCCTGTCACTCAGCCAATTTCATATCCATGAGCTAGAACTTTGCTCAGAGTCTGTTGTACAGCACTACATCAAATACTTTTTGGATATCCATTGACATTACATCAATTGCATTGTCCTCATCAACCTTCCCTTAAAGAATCCATACTGGCTTTCCTGAATTAACCCACATTTGTCTGTGTGACAATTAATATTATGAATTATTGGGAACATGAGTAACAATTCTTCAGTCCTCTGGCACCACCACTGAGTCAAAGGGAGACTGAAGATTTGTGAACAGGGCCTCCACAATTTCCATCCTTAAATCCTTCAGTGTTCCTGGATATTTCTCACCTGCTCCTTGTTTTGCCAGCTCGGATATGATCATTGGAATGTGCAGAAATGATGATCGATATACTGGATCTTGTCATTTAAGACAGGAGTCCTTTGATGAGACATGGAACATTCATATTAGCAGCAGGAGTTGACCATTAGGCCCATTGATTCTGCTCTACTATTCAGTGTAATCATGGCTGACACCCTACCTCAGAGATAGTAGGAACTGCAGATGCTGGAGAATCCGAGACAACAAGGTGCAGGGCTGGATGAACACAGCAGGCCAAGCAGCATCATAGGAGCAGAGAGGCTGACGTTTCGGGCCTAGACAGCTCCCTTTTCTGCTTTGATTCCCTGAGTGAGCAAAAACCTTTCAGGCAAATATAACAAAGTGAACTCTGAATGAAACTAAATCATTAGTTTACAAACTTCCTCAGAAACATGAATTGAAGGGCTTTTTGCAAAGTGCCATGAATATTAAATTTGTGAAGTCATTGTTGTTCTATTTGTGCATCTGTTGTCAAGTTTAAATTCAAGCTCCTGTCAGTTGACAGAACTGAATATTTTGAAGATTACCTTGTTGGCATATTTCCTAGCTATCAGGTTGAGTAGAATATCTATGGACTGCAGAGGGTCACAACAGGAAATATTAATATTCAGAGGGATCCGGATGTCTTGTATATGAATCACAGAAAGTTAGTAAGAAGGTACAGCAAAGCCCATAGGAAAGTAAATGGTCTGTTGGTCTTTATTAGACAGGACTGAAGTTGAAAAACGAATAATTTTGCAGCAATTGTATAGGACCATACTGAAACCACACCAAGATTATTCTCCACTGTTATGCTCTCCTTACTAATTAAGGATTTACTTGCCTTAGAGTGAGTGCAATGGAGACTGGTTCCTGCAGTAAGGAGATCATCCAATGAAGAGAGATTGAATCTATATTCCTGACAGTTTAGAAGAATGAGAGGTGATCTAATTGAAATATATAACATTCTTAAGAGGTTGTATAGGGTAGATGTTGCAAAGAGTCTTGCATGACTGAGGAGTCTACAGCTAAGGTTACACTTTCAGAGTAAGGGGTCAGCCATTAGAACTGGGACAAGGAGAAACTTCTTTATTCACTCAATTGTGAATCTTTTGAATTTTCCACTGCAGA